CGGCTACAGGAATGACAAAGGTGATCAAACAACTCAAAGCTCAAAAGTCAGAAATCAGTATGACAGTGCACTACAGCCTGAAACGCAGGAACTGTGTCGAAAGCGAAAAGAGAGGATTATGGGAAGCACACAGCAAATTAATCCAAACAAGCTACAAGATATAAAAAGTAAGAACGGTACAAGATGAATACAGTTTTACTAAAAGTGGATAAAGGGATTTTTATTCAGACTCCCTGCTGCACACCCACGTTGCTCATTTTGCAAAAATAAAAAAATAACCTGATCTGGTTTCTAACAACGCAAGTTCGAACGTCATATCCAAACCATGCCCACAAAATTCACCCACCAGGGATTAACCACAGGAAAAAATAATGTTTTTACTTTTTGAAGAAGTCATTCTCTGCAGTTGAGCTAGTGACTAAGGCAGTCAACTGAGATTACACAGTTAGAGATAAGAAACTTTTATTTTTCAGTGGAAATGGTGAGTACAGTTATGTAACTATAAAGCTAATCAAAGGACTGGTGGCACCTGATTTAAACAAAATGAATGATGCTAAAGTGATGAGTAGTTACACACAGACTGAGCTACTCCACCATGCCAGTGAAATGCGAGTGATGTTTCTCCAGTGCTGCACTACATAAATTGTGAGTGGTGTTTCTCAGCTTGCTATATGAGAAGGACTTTTACACTTATTACCACTCCTAGACTAAAGTGAAGGAAGAGACATCCGGACTGCACTTTTGACATTTATGAATCTGTACAACTGTGTATACTGGCAGCTCTCCAAAACCACAAGGGAAAGGGACAAAGTGAAAGGATAAAAAAGAAAGAATCAATTCCCAACTTTGAAAGTTTTCACTATATACACCAGGAGGCACCCAGAGCAAAATCGAATTTCAAAATTTGATTACATGCAAAATTGTGAATCAACCGCGCCAACCTGGCTTTAAACAATGAAGTGAGATGAGAATCATTCCAAGCATCAAGCCAGAAACCCAAGAGTGCCTTAGTATCCAGCAGGGGGCAGGTGGGTGCATTATGCTTCATGGCTGTCATTATTGATTATATTAATAATAGAGTAATCTACCGATTTATCTAACGATTTATTGAAAAATCATTTATATATAATATAATACATAAATTACAATTAGTGCAAAGCAGGAACCATCCAACTATTGCAGGTTGCACACTCACTCACACATACAGTCAATTTAGGCATTCCAATTCATTCGTTTTGCATGTTTTTGGGCAATGGAAGGAAAACAGAGGAGGATTTGCTAAAAAGTCATACTGTATGCAGGGTAAACACACACAAAAGTGCAGTGTGTGATGACAGCGCTACCCACTGCGTCACTGTGCCACCCTCAACACTAGGCTGCACAATGTGCGATGTTATTATCAACACAGCATTTCATGGCCATGCAAATGTCACATTGAAAGGAGGGCAATATAGTCTGAGATTCAAAACATTAATAAGTCATTGGTTACTGTCGCTGCTTTTGCATGAACTGTGCATGCGCTCTCCCAGATAATCATAATCATTCTCATCCTTGGACTCACTCATAGACTGTGTGTCGCGTTTGTGAGAAATTAAACAAAAAATTAGTGAAAAGGAGAAACACAAACAAACACTGGTCAGGGAAAGGCATCCGTTTTCAGCTGCACTGCACAGAGATGATATAGAGCAAAAGCAAGTGATTTGTTAGCACTGTCTTGTGTCTGTTGGCACAGCTAACAGTGACACCACTGCACTCATGTACTCATACTTGTACTCAAAAAAATTGTCAGATATCGAGGACCCATATCACTTAATTATAACATTACATTAAAACTCAAAGCCCAATCAGATTTTGAGATTTGTCGCCCGGAAACAATTGAAAAGGATAAATGCAGAGAACACCAGCATTAGCAAATTGCCGAGTATACGTAGAGGATGTCAGCAGTTTAGACATATTTTAAGATAAGAGACGACGAGAGAAGTAAAGCGAAGGTGTCAAGAGGAGGATGGGATAGTGCATCATATAACACAAACAATTTGATCAAACATCTAATGATGCACCATAGTGCAGAGGACACGGAATTTGCTAATGATAGCATAGAAGGTCCACAATAACAAACTGAAGTGTTCGTAATATCTAACATTACATAATATATATATGTGTGTGTCTGTGTGTGTATGCACGTTACATTTTGCTTTACAAAGCTAGGAAAGCTTTGCTTAATGTTTACGTTAAGCCTGGTGTTGCCTTACACATAAAAGAATTATCACAGGTGCTTCCACACTGTGAGGCAAAATCCTACTGCTTATTAATTAAACACTGGTATCTGATCGTTACTAGGTATCAGCCGATATCCAAAGTCCAGGTATCGGTATTGGGACAGAAAAGGTGGGATTGGTGCATCCCTAAAAATTTTATTCAATGCGTTTTAATAAATGAATAATCAAAGTTAATTGTGACACAATTATGCTAACACGCTTCAGATGGCACACATAACCAGGCAGCCATCGCTCCAATTGGCAGAGAAACATCCAGGTAGCATGTGCCATGTGCAATCCAGGACATTTCACACCCAGCTATGAAGTTTTGAAATTTCCCAACCAAAAGAGAGCTGAAACCACTGATGAGCTAGTGTCCTTCCCATCGGCTCAATAAACAAAGAGCAATGCACATCTGGACTGTCTTACCAGACAGGCCACAGCAGACTAATGTCGCAACATGAATCCATTAAGCACTTGTATGTAAACCTAATCTGACCATCATGGGCAGTATTGTTAATCTGACTGCTAATGACTGACCATGATATAGTGACACACATTGCACTGGGTGACAAGGTCAAATGTGGGGCAAATTTGTTTAAAAAAGTGATATGAATCTTAACCATTCCCTTGAATGTTGCAGTGTACCCTTCAGTTCCTTCCTTAAGATGGCACATTATTAAACAATCAATGGGTATTTTACATCACCTAAGTTGAATGAAGCTGCTTTAAAAACATTTTTGTATCTGAATACTGGTTTATTATGAATTGGTATAATTAGATTTGGCCATTAATAAAATAATATACATTTAAATACCTGTGGTCTTGTTCTAAATTACAGTGACCAAATAATAATTATTTCTTCGACTTCCTTTTCTTTTCTTTCACCTTTTAAACTTAAGTTTTTAACGGGGGTACCAAAATCATGCCTATAACGGCTTCCATACAGTTAATTACACCGGGGTTGAGATGAAGATGAAATTTCACAGCTGCAGAGTCCCAAAGAGATGTGTGACTGAGATCAGTGGAAAGCATGACTTGGCTCCACCGGGGAACTTGTTTGGTTCCAGAATCGCTCCAGGGGGGCTCTCTTATTCCGGCTGTACCGCGTAACGGGATCGAGCCCCCAGCAGCCGGCCTCCCAGTCTCTCACCAAAATGGCAGCAGATCTGAATGAATCTCGGAAATGACTGGCAGAACTGGACCAGGGAGGGATATCAAACACAATAAGCCTGAAGCTTCACAAAAGACAGGACATCACTGACACCCATAAGCAGCAACTACGAAATAAAGAGATCTAATTTCAGCCAATACCCGGTTAAATATACATTTGAAATGTCCGTTTAAGCTACATTTTCCCTGGGCTTTTGGCTCTCGGGTAAATTACCCACGAAGGCTAGAGGAAACCAAAATGACCAGCTTTAAACATTATGTCACTCACTCAAGTAGGTCAGTACTTAAAACACGTTTTACATATAATATTACGTACAATATATATTTGAGCTAAATGGTGTTTGAAATCAACAGTTAGCGTACACACAAGAACAAGCAGACTACACACAGGAAAAACACGTGAATCGAACTACAGTGCCCTGTGTCTTAATTCTTCTCTCCACGTAAGGTTTTCAGAAAATTGGTATAAATGAAAACACAAAAGGTTAACGGGAGGCGAATACAAATTCAAGCAGGGTTACCGCTCAGAGGCACAAAGCCGCAGAAACCTTCGCTGTATTTTCTGCCTAGTGCGGGACTGCACAGACATTAGCAAACTACAATATAGTGGAATAAACTAGTATTCCATAAAGCGAAAAGCTGTCCTCACAAATTCACCCATCGCTAACTAACCCTAACCCACCTGCTGCGGCTCCGGGCGCTGCCATGGCCGCTGGGTGCCGCTCAAGCTGTCGGGGGTTCGCCAAGGTGGCGCCCTTGGTGAGCTTCAACATCAAATATACAGACTACAAAATCTGTTTTTTTGTATATGCAAATGTATTGCAACATAGTTTTACTGCATATGCAATTCATTGTGATAGAAAGAACCATTTGACAGCCCTAGTAACCGTGCTAATCTACTGTTCCCCTCCCGCCAAATTGCGTAACCATTTTGTGTGGCACTAGAGAGCACGAGTACTTCTATAGCGTGGCGCTCATTGCTGAGACCAAGTGAAAATCTTTAAATCTTTACTAATATAGCAAAATCATTAGTATTTGTAGGCCTAGCTAGCAATGTGTATCATACAGATTTTAATACTTTGTCATTTTTAAACATGTGTTGTAGCACCGGTGAGATGGCTCCGAGTAAGTCATTAGCATTTCCCCTGTAAATGGCCATGTAAATAGCCCCTGCATTTGTTGTTGATAATACTTGTGTTCCTGATTGTCCTGTGTGCCCTTGCCCTGTCACATGTGAACCCGGCGCGATCCTCGCGTATCTTTATCTTTTATGTAAGTTATCCAACGTGTTTGTGTGCCGTACTGTCCGACGTCTGACCATTCTGCGTTTCCCCGTTCGAGGGTGGTTGTTGTCTGTGTTAGTGCCTTGTTGTCTTCCTGTTGCTTCGATACCTGGTTCTGCCAAGCACTGCAATATGTATTTCCCCAGTGGAGTAAATAGTATCTGTTGCTCTCATTGGGTTGGAGCTGACAGTTACTGGTATTAATTTGGATTAGTTTGCTTGTGGTTTCTCGGTCGCTGTACAGCTTTTAAAAATTATGAGAAAGCATAAAGTTTACAAACAGCAATAGATGGAGAACTGTGTTTAATACCATATATTTCTTATGAAGGAATATAAAAAGTTATAAATACAGATATTACACACATTTAAGGCATTTTATTAATCTAAGAGGGTAAGGCTGATGAATACGTCAAACACGTCATTCATTGCTCAGCATAGTTGGACTTGCGGTGATGTTTGCTGGTGAGTTTGTAGGTGAGTCGACCGCAAAGTATTCCAGCTGGAATCCACCAGCTGTCACGGAGGAGTCGGAGAGAAACTTCAGTGTGATGACATTTCCTGTGGGAAGGAGCATGATTTGTGTGAAAGTAGTACACATGCCAACAACACATCAGGGTGGTTTTATTGTATGTAATTACACCACTTGTCCAGGGTTGCCAACTTTGGTCAGCTGTCTGACGTGAGATTTTCAATTCGAGACAAGTCTGCCCACGCATTGTATGTAAGAGTTTCATTACCTTGTAAATTGGGCTTGCAAATTACCCTAACACTTTTAATGTCAGTAATTTTAGGTTTATAATGGAATAACATAGATTTGCCGTAAGATTTCTTGCGTCAGACTCAAAGCGTGAGTGTCATGCCACATGCGGGAGAGTTGGCAACCCCGCATATCATGGATTTATGAATGCTGGTTTTACTACTAGCTTGGTGACTCTGGTCCCTTAATGTTCTTTATGTTGTACTTCTCGTCATTCAGTTGTCCTATTAGGTTCGTGCTTTGAAGATGCTGTCTAGTTCCTGCTTTAATACTGCCTACACTTGTCCATGTACTTTCATTTGAAGCTCAACCTAGCTGTACTTAAGTCTAGCTGACTGCTTGACAACTGTATGATTGTATTGTGCTATTTGTCTCCCTTGTACTTCGCTTTGGACAAAAGCGCCTGCTAAATAAAATTTAATGTAAATATATTATGAAATTCCAACCAATACCAGTAATACCAGACCTGTACTGATGAAGTCCTCTGGTAAATCATCACCACAGAATCTACAGAAAAGAAAAGAAACAAGTATATTTACACATTACATCCTGTTCAAATGAACTTCCAGTTTGAAACGTGAGATTTTCTAGAAAATAACATTTTGATCCTGAAAGCATAAACATGGGAAAGAGAATTTACACAGCCATCCTTACAAATACAAACTTACCTATACCTACACCTACAAAATACCTACTCCTTGAAAACTGCCGGTGGTGGGCACAACTAACCGAAAAGTTAGCTTTGATAACCGCTAATCCGCTAACTCCAAAGTTTAATTGAATAATGCTAAACTGATAAACCACTAAAACCACTTGCGGAAACTAACGATAACCGCTAACATATGAATTTAACTTTGGTTTGGTTTTTGTTTCTTAAACCTTTAGAAACTTACCTAGAGAGCTAAAAATTTTGCCTGTTTAACACTGAAATGTCATCTGTCGGACTAGAGTGAACACCAGAGAATATTTAGAACATACTATCGGTTATCATTGGATTCTGTAGAGTTTCCAAAATAAATCTGCATCAAAATTTTCTTTCTATATTTAGCTTGCGAGATATAAGTGTTTTGTCAGAGAAGCCCTATTTGCCGTCAGCATGGTTCCATTTACCCAGAACTAGAAAGGATGGTCTCAGCTCTTTATTGGACCATATCTCTGTCAATTAAAACTCAGAAAATACATCCAGGGGCCTGTATCACAAATCAGAGATTAATGTCAATACGAGTACTTGACCCTAATTGTGTTCTCAGGTACCCGTTTTACTTCATCTTCCATTGCTGAAGACCAGTTCCAATACTAAGAACACAAGTACATGAGGACGGTAAAAATCCGTGGATGTTGGTCTTGCTCCACCCCAAATATCAAGGATATAAGGTTGTATCCCCACTGAATGAAAGCAATCCCATGATTCATTGCGCCCCAAGTTCATTCTTGGAAGGACTTGCCAAGACCACAAGTATGGTCTTTGTGTTCTTGATATTGAGACTCATCCCAGTATTTCTTGCTTAGCTGGATAACTTGTCGAATTTAAGGTAGACTGAGATAAAAGTAAGTGAACAAAGTCCATTTAGCCCAGGCTACCTTACAACCAACATGTTATCCGGCTAAGCAAGAAATCCAGCTTTATGATCCAGGCCGCTGTTCTCCACTTAGTTCAGGGTACCCCAGTTTAAATTGATTTTATCATCTTCGTTCACNCAAGTTCATTCTTGGAAGGACTTGCCAAGACCACAAGTATGGTCTTTGTGTTCTTGATATTGAGACTCATCCCAGTATTTCTTGCTTAGCTGGATAACTTGTCGAATTTAAGGTAGACTGAGCTATATGTAAGTGAATGAAAATAAATTGCATTTAAACTTGGGTATGTTAAATCCCACAAGTTATCTGGCTAAGCAAGAAATCCAGCTTTATGATCCAGGCCGCTGTTCTCCACTTAGTTCAGGGTACCCCAGTTTAAATTGATTTTATCATCTTCGTTCACTTATATTTAGGCCATACTACCTTAAATCTGACATGATATCCACAATCACCTTTTGTGCTTACATGTAGTCAGCCAACAGCATGTCAGTTTGACTGTTGCAGACACAATCACAACAGATATGTATGATTTTGACCTCTGAATTTTATTTATTTAGCTGCAAAAAACTGTTAGCAGGTTTGCAGTTAGCAGAAGTAAATTTAATAGAAGCTAACTGGTCCACTAACAGTTTTCAAAGTTTGTACAAATGCAATTCCAATTAAAAAAGTTAGCATCACTAATTAGCAGTTAGCGGATTAACAGAACCTTACCCACCACTGAAAACTGACATCTGTTTAATTTTTAAAATAGTTTTCATTTTTTAAATATATTTCGAATTACACATATAAGGCCAAGAACAAAAACTGAATAATACCAGTGAACTGAATAATTTTGAACAAATGTCTCATTTAATTAAATATCTGCAGTGTTGCTTTAATACTCTCGATTTATACTCGATTACTCTTCTTACCCAATGAATCATTCAACAGTACTCGCTACCAACACAATTACACTAAGTGATATGTAAATTTTTTTAATGATATTAGATTCTATATAGGTACACCTAGAGGCAAAGGGTGGCACATGAATGGTCTGTATTACAGTACTTCTAAGGGTGATTAAAGCCTATGCTTTCAGACCAACCAATTAGACTAGCCCATTTCTTACCTCCCAACAAAGCCAGAGACGTCGTCATAGCTGTCATAAATCTCAAGGTAGTCAGAGAGGCAGGCAGTGTCATCCTCCACGTCGAATTCCAGGAAACGCAGCTGCACCCGCTGTCCGTAGCGCAGGCGAATGTGCCAGTAGCAGATCTGCTCATCCTCATACTCATCTGGGTACCCAGGGGAATTAATAAGTCTGTGCTGCTCTGTCAGAATTCCTCCACACTGCTTCCCTGTAGAAAAATAGCCGAGGTGAGGCAACTAGGGGGCCCATTGTTAAATCCCAGGCATTTCAGGAAAGAACTATATTTCAAACTGGCCAGTGATGCACATTAAAAGTCTCTGATTCATTAAAACTAAGTGATTTATATATATACTCTGTGTGTCTATGTCTATACACACACAAGGGACACTGGAAATAAAACGTCTGCTAGTTTGGGTTCAGCGCTTAAATTATTGCTGATAAAATATACCTTGAACCTGCATATACCTTGAATCATTAATGAAACAGGTCACATTTTTTGAGTTATAAGAACATAAGAAATTAACAAATGAGAGGGGGCCATTTGGCCCATCAAGCTCGTTTGGGGAGAACTTAACTAATAGCTCTGTTGTTAAAATCTTATCTAGCTCTGATTTAAAGGAACCCAGGGTTTTAGCTTCCACTACACTAGCAGGAAGACTATTCCATACTCTAACTACACGCTGTGTAATGAAGTGCTTCCTCAAATTTGTTTTAAAATGTTCTCCTGCTAATTTCCACTTATGGCCACGAGTTCCAGTATTTAAACTAATATTGAAATAGCCATTTGGCTGAACAGCATCCAGACCCGTTAGAATCTTATACACTTGAATGATGTCCCCCTGCTAACCTCCTTTGCTCAAGGCTAAACAGATTCAGCTCAGCTAACCTCTCCTCATAAGACATTCCTCTAAGACCAGAAATGTCCTTCTTAAGGTATGGTGACCAAACCTGCACAAAATATTCTAGGTGGGGTCTTACCAAGGAATTATATAAGTGTAACATCACCTCCCTTGACTTAAACTCCACACACCTAGAGATATAACCCAACATTCTATTGGCCTTTTTTTATTGCTTCCCCACACTGGCGAGAGTGGGACATGGAAGCATCAACATACATACCGAGATCTTTCTCGTAATCAGCTACCTTTATTTCAGTGGAACCCATAAAATATCTGTACTTTATATTTCTGCTCCCTGCATGGATTACCTTACATTTATCTGTGTTAAATTTCATCTGCCAAGTATCAGCCCAGTCGCTAATTAAATCCAGATCCTGTTGTAGCCTCTCTGCTGCTAGATCAGCATATATCTCCTACACCACCCACCTTGGTGTCATCTGCAAATTTAACCAGTTTACTGTATGTATTGGTGTCAATATCATTAATGTAAATTAGGAACAATAGTGGTCCTAAAATTGAACCCTGCGGTACCCCACTATGAATGCAGGCCCACTGTGACATTGTGCCTGTAATAATTACTTGCTGCTTCCTGTCAGTTAACCAGTTTTGATCCAAGCTGCCACAGTTCCTAAAATCCCTGCAGCTTTGAGCTTTAGCAAGAGCCGTTTGTGGGGACAACATCAAAGGCCTTCTGGAAATCTAAGTAGATCACATCGTAGGCCTTTTTGTGATCAATTTCACTTGTAGCTTCCTCAAAGAACTCAAGTAGATTCGTTAAACAGGATCTACCTATCCTAAATCCATGTTGGCTATCCCTCAGAATGTTATTTGCATCCAGGTAATCTACCATTTTCACTTGGATTATAGCTTCCATTATTTTTCCAGTAATGCTAGTTAAACTGATTGGCCTATAGCTTTCTGGATTACTTCTATCCCCTTTTTTAAATATGGGTGTTATATTAACATGCTTCCAATCTGAAGGTACCACATCCGCAGATAACGATTTCTGGAATATTAAAGTTAAAGGTTGGCTAATAATATCCCTCATCTCTTTTAAAACTATAGGTAAGATGCCATCAGGGCCCTGCGATTTATTTATTTTGAGTTTAGCTAGGCTTAGTACCACATCAGCCTCAGTTATACATATATTGGTCATAGACGACTCTGTATTCGTACTAATTGGTGGTAAGTTACTTGTGTTCTCTACTGTGAACACCCGTGAAAAATAATCATTAAACTCATTTACTATATTAATTTTATTTTCAATTATAAGGCCTTTACTATCCTGCAAATTAGTGATTTCAGCTTTTAGAGCTCTTTTGGAGTTAAAATATTGGAAGAAACTTTTATTGTCATCCTTAGCCTCCAATGCAATTTTTCTTTCTACATCCCTCTTGGACAGTCTAATGTTATTTTTTAACTCTACCTGTAGACTTAGATACTCCTGCTTAATTTTGAAATCATTAGTTATTTTCCAATTGTGGAACAGAGCCCTTTTCCTCCTGACTTTATTCTTAATTTCCTTAGTAAACCACCTTGGTTGTCGTTTCCTAGATTTAGTTTTGCTGAAAACAGGTATGAAGTCCTCTTGCACTTGCAACAATGTGCTTTTAAAAAATTCCATGCCTCTTCAACTGTTTTGCTATTTAATTCCATCCGGTTTACAGTTTCTAGTTTCAATCTCATACCATTAAAGTTAGCATTCCTAACATTATATACTTTTAATTTCGACTTTGCTCTTCGGACACTAAAATTAACATCGAATTTAACCATGTTATGATCACTACCATCCAATGGTTCTAAAACCTCTAATTTTCCAATCCTATCCTGGTTATTAGAGAAAACAAGATCAAGAAGGGCTTCTCCCCTGGTAGAGGTATTAACAAACTGAGTAAAAAAACAGTCCTGTACTAATTCCACCATCTCAAGTTCATTTACAGAAGAGCCAGAGACTGTGTCCCACTGTATCCCAGGTAAATTAAAATCACCCATAACCACCACATCATTTTTATTACTCATAATCCTGATATCATCATATAACATTTTGCTTTCCTCTGCAGCTACATTAGGTGCTCTATAACAAACCCCGACAATTAGGCCATTTGAGTCCTTATCATCAAGTTTTATCCATACAGCTTCTGTACTTTTATTTTTATCAGTGAGCTCCCTTGCCTGCAAGTTTTCCTTTACGTATACTGCAACACCACCTCCCTTCTTGCCTATCCAGTCTCTACAGAACAACGTATAACCATCCATATTATATTCTTCACCATCATTGTCACTCATCCATGTTTCAGTTATTCCTATAATGTCGTAAGTTATGTAAACTATTAGTGAAATCCAATTTCAAAATAATTTTTGAAATGACTTTCTTTGTGGGCTATGGTGGTGCAGTGGTTAGCATTGTTGCCTCACACCTCTGGGACAAGGGTCCGAGTCTCCGCCTGGGTTATGTGTGTGTGTTCTCCCTATGTTGTCGTGGGGTTTCCTCTGGGTACTCTGGTTTCCCCCCCACAGTCCAAAGACATGCTGAGGCTAATTGGAGTTACTAAATTGCATGTGTGAATGTGCCCTGTGATAGGCTGGCCTTTGTGCCCGTAACTTCCAGGATAGGCTCCTAACCCCCCCACAACCCAGAAGGATAAGCAGTTTGGAAAATGGACGGATGTTCTTTGTAAGGCAGAGTGGGGGAAATAATTCAGAATTAATAACAGCAAACATTTCCTAGAGGTTTAGAAATTGGAAGTAAAGTGTGACTCAGAGTCTCCAATTTGTCAACAGGCAATTGAAAGATTATGACATCATTGCTAACCTTTACGGCAAATGTGAGTGGTATGCCACTCATCTGTGACCAGCATTTTTTCTGCTCTTTATACATTGTAGATGTAGAACATCCTACCACTACTAAAAACAAACCTTAACATTACTCAGACCTAACCATCAACTCAATGGGAGTTTAGCATGACCACAGTCTTCCTCTTCCACTGAGAGTGGGGGCTGTGCAGCACCGCATCCTGATGACCAACACCTACTCATTGTGGTTTTACTCACCATTGGGGTTGTAACAATAGACGTCCCACCGTTCACTCTTGTTCAGCCTGTAACCGTAGTCGATGATGCCAACTCTGCCAAAGCCACAGTTGGTCCCCGGTTTGACGATGGGGTAGCCAACTCGCCCCTTGTCAAACCAGCCAGCCGAGCACACATGGAAACCTGAGGGGGCAGATTGGACTGTTAAAGGATCTGCTGTCCTATGATCTGGAGACATTGTCTGTGATCCTTGCATATACATGATAGTATTAATATCACATACATTACATGCCATTGGATAAAACAGAAGGACATGATCATTCCTGCAGTATGATAACAACAAGAATCTTAAACAAAATGAGTATATTTTAATTGCAGACAACTACAGTTATAAAAAGTTCAACAACATCATTTGTTATTGCTATAATTATGCTATTGTCTGTATGTCATTTCTCTATGGGATTTTATCAATACCAGTTGTCAGAAATATTTGTCAGAAAGAGCAGCATTTAAGAATGCAGATATTGTCCAAATCATAGGTATCAAAGTCTAATGCTAAGTATCCCATGGTCCCTTTCTTCATTTTGGAAAATGCAGTGATTTTATTCATTCCTAAGAATTCACGTTAAAGTAAAAAATTATGATATCTGGAGAAAATTGCTGTACATCAATGGTCACCAAGTGGCGGACTCTGGTCCTCATCTGGACCGAAATACAATTGAATACAGACCTCGCAAGCAATTGCCTCCCCCACCAAGATCAACATTTTAGCTGTTAATCATGCTAAATTGTATAGTGAGAATACATCTGGAGGTCAAAAACCCTCTAATGACACAACTGGCATGGGGTCTTTATTGTGGTCTTTAATGTGGTAGGGGGTGGGATCACAGACCTATCTTACGGGCTGCCTCCAGCTGGTCATATGTTGCCAGTTTACCCCCTTCAAACTCGCAGACGGCCTTGGCTTCCTTGTAGGTGAGCTGGTACCTCCCCTTGCGTGACTCACGATGGTACACTCCAGCTGCTTGTTCTGTTGACAGAGAGGAGTCCATTATGACCCCACCACAGATCCACAGGGAGACTTCCATGGATATGGTTGTAAAATCAATAGCAGCAGCACAGACTGAAAGATTTAAAAGGCAACAAACCTGTTTTTGTGGCCAATAAAAGCAACAGCCTTATTACTTAACAGAGAAGATTTAGAGATAAAGCCCATCTTTGACATAAGAATATAATTTGAGATCCAGAAGTCATGTACTACACTCTGTCAAAAAAAGAGATCTAGTTTGTGAAGAATAACACAGGAGGAATATTTATCACCTGTAACGTGTTGCACTTTCACTAACTAAAGGATAAGTGATATGCAAGTGACTTTTCTTGGCACTTGACACATTCTTGGTCTTTTAATAGAGCAGAGCTGGGATAAGCTGCCTTAGATCTTATGCATGGTCTCACAGAAGCTGAAGCTCACTTCAAACCAACCGATCTGCCAGTGTTCACTGAGCCCTGTACTGTACGCACTGCAGCTGCACTGCACTATGCCAGCAATTAAGTAACATGGGGAAGTCACACGTCACATTACAGTGAACTGCACATAAATATGCCTTATAAACCCCAGATGTGTGTTTTCAGCACATGGTTAGTTTTCCGTGAAGAATCAGTCAGATTTTAACTTCAATCCATTAGTTAACTGGCAAAATTACTATCTGGGAATTATAACAAAGTGTGCAGTCTCTGTAAGTATGTGCAAGACACATGGAAAACATAGTGACGCTGAAGGTCTTGCTAAGAAAATATAGTTACACAAAATGTAACAAAATGAAACAAAATATAGTTAAAGATAATTAGCTTGAAAGCCTAAATCTCTGACAATCTGCAGTAGGACCAAACCATGTCATACCTCTGGCTGCCAAGCTGCTCTCTGTTTTTTCTGCATACTCACCTTATACCATAATGTGAAAACTTTAGAAACTTTGTTTTACCAGAATTTTGTACATTTTACAGAAAGGCATTACACTATATAGTAAATATGTGCTTGTGGTATTTGTCAAAAATATCAATCTAGTAATAAAATATTACAGAAATAAATACCATCACTATTCCACTAAGTACCTAAAGGTATTCCATAAAAGCGTATGACAGTAGTTAAAGTATGGTGGATTTATTTATCAGGTAAGGTCCTTCACACTGCAATACACAACAGACAAACGTTGATTAGATGCACTTACCAAGCCATATGGAGTTGTGAAGAATGCCGTCCTTAAAGCCCCACGCCCCAGCTTCCTCCAAAAGCAGGCAGACGAGCCAGATGATGCTACAAGTTCTCATTGCCTTATGGCTTAAGGACATATGTTACAGGGAAGTTGTTTCCTGAGTCTCTGACAGCGCAGCTGGCCGCTGACCGGGTTAGTGGAATATGCGGAGGCAGCGCAGTCCTGCGGAATCACTTTCAATGAGTTCAACGTCAGAGGAGGGCAGGGCTGGACTGGGATTTAACTAAAAATTAAACCCGGTCTTTTGTGTCCCACGCGGCCCCACGATGAATTTTACCCATTGATAACTTTTAGCAAGCGATACATTTTGCCGACCGAGGGGGTATACAGTACATTTTGAGAGCCCACCGGAAAAATACCGGGTTCGCCAGATGGCCAGTCAAGCCCTGGAAGAGGGTGGTCGTCAGCTTCCCTTTAAAAGTTGATGACTGGCCCTGAAAAGTAATTCAAAGAAACGTCATTTCTTCCTAGGATAATTGGTTTTAGACCCTATTTTTTGTCTCAGCCACACTGAAAAAAACTGTAGCTCCAGTAAGCGATTAATCCTTACGGAGTACACATTTCGTAGAAAACTTATAGCCGGAAAACCCCGCAACCCCCAATTTTTTTCGTGGAGGGTGTTGGCGTCCTGTATTTCTTCAAATGGTCCCTGCAGGGGGCTGAGCCCCTTCCCCCCCAATGGTCAAATCCTACAGTTGCCCTGTTTCCTAGGCTTTTGGATTACAGACAGTGCGTATATCTCACTGTGGACCATAAATACGCAAACTCTTTACACATACTGTATTTTCTGTTCACTTGCTGGTTTATTTTTCATTAATTTATTTACATGCTCCTAATAAGATAACGTAAAGAAATTTGTTCAAAAATATTCCTTTAATATTAGGTTCATTCGGGGAGATTGTACAGGATTATAAATGTCTGGGTGTCCACCTAGATAGCAAACTGGACTGATCTAAGAACTGCACTGCTGTTTATAAACAAGGAAGGAGTCTGCGGATGTTCTGCGAGCCTGCGGTAGCAAGTGCCTGCTGAGGCAGCAATGTCAAGGTGGCTGATGCCAGCAGACGCAACAAGTTAATCATGAAGGCTGGGCCGGTTCTAGGGAAGGAACTCGACACTATCGACACTAGCGCAGAGGAGGATGCTGTCCAGACTTCGGTTTATTGTGCTCAATGCTGCTCATCCGCTTCATAATGCTGTGGTTGGACAGAAGAGCGCATTCAGCCGCATACAGCTGGACTTAAAATGCTCCACCGAGCGCCTCAGGAAAACATTCCTTCCGACAAAATGTACAACCGGTGAATCACCCAGGGCACATTTGCAATAATATCGTATCTATTCAGAAATAGTTATACTCTATATGATACTGTGTTTTGCCTATTTTTTTTGTCTTTTTGTGTGGTTGTTTACTGTGCAGTCTTAATTACAAACTATTTCCCCAGGAGCCATAAAAGTTTTCTGATTCTGATTAATATATGAGCTCTGAAAAACCGCCTAAAATGATAGAAACCTGGTTTATATTCTGAGCTCGCCCTTTCTGTCAATGTTATGAGTACAATAGCAGTTTAAAGGAGGCGCGTTTCCACCGCAGGTATAGTGTTTTTTTTTTTCGTACTTTGTGAAAGTACCAAAAGTAGGGCGCTTCAAGGTGTTGGTTTTCCAATGGCGTAAAAACTGGTACCGGCGAGGCGGGGTATTTTGTACTGAATTCGAAGAATGCCTGTATTGTATTATAGGGCTGAACAGTGTGCGACATTAATACCAGCATCGCATGTTACGCACATACAATTCTTACAATTGCTAGTGAGCTAGATTAAGATCAGGCTTTTTCTTATTTTCAGTTCAGTACCGATCGACATTATAGCGCAAGGGGTTAAAGTTCGCTAAAACAGTTTTAGGCCCAATCCCAAACTATACCCTCGACACTCCGCCTTCATTTCGAGTCACACTCCCGCCGAGTCACCCTCACAACACGCCCTATACACTTAAACTGAAGGAAATTGTCACAAGAAAGATTTGAGACAGAGAGTGGTGCATTCCATTTGCCCTGGGAACTCGGATTCCGAGTTGGATTCCGAGTTTCAAAGCCGGAAGTGACGACATGCGCGCTCCCGTTTCTCGGAGATCCGAGAATGATCTCGGATAACGCAGAGGATCCCGAGTTCAGAATCGAAGATGGCTGCGCCCTTTATCAACAGAAGGGAAAGTTGTAGTTTTATCCTGTTTAAGCACTACTTCTCATTTCTGGCTCATTAAATCGGTCGCACACACGATACCGTCCAACTTATCTGTGGACGTGTTGCTACGGAGTTTTATACGTGAAGCACCGCGCGTAATGTGTTATCAAGTGATATGGCTAACAATGGCTACCAATTAACCGGTCTAGAATTGGATTTCATGATTAGTCGGATTATTTGTCGGATTTAAGGTAGTTCGGGCTAATTGTAAGTGAACGAAAATAAAGGCCATTTAAACTGAGGTACCTTAAATCCGACAAGTTGTCCGGCTAAGCAAAAAATCTTGCTTTTTCATATGGGTCGATGGTATTGCTACTTCTTTGGCAAATGGAACGTATCCAACTCGGTTTCTCCGAGTTTTTACCGGATGTGACGTAATGGAATGCACGAAGACTTGCCCTCGCAGCGCCTTTTTACAGTCTTCATTACCGGAAAGAGGAAATGCATTACGTAGTGATTTGACGAAATGGATCCATCAAGAAGCTGTATTGTATTTTCTTTAATGACATATCAGTTATTTTAAAAAAGCACAGTTTATCTAATGCGAGAAGACGACGGCTACGTCGTCTTATTGCACTGAGCAATTTTAAGTATGTACATGTGTCATATTGACGATTGTACAATTTCTACCATAGCTAACTTAGGTTACACGCATAAAACATTACGCATTACTTCTGTACCAAATACCAGATCCAGATATGTAGAGGAAAAACAGGCAAATATGAAACATAAATTGTTATTGCTGGTGTGATGTTGATCGAGTTTGCGTACGAATGTTTCTTCGCGTGGTTTCTAGTTTGAAAAGTACACAAAATCTCTCGTAATCGGATCACGATAAAATCTACCTGTACTGACCAGCTATAAATAACTGCTTTCCTAATTTTTTTTCTGCAGCGATGAATTATAACATGTAACATAGACTTTCTATGTGTATTTCACTGTGCTGTTAGAATCCAATTATTAAATTATCGCGCTGTTCTGTTTCCTGTGCGCTAGGAATTATGGGATATGGAAGTGTGAAATCGCGCGAGCCGCCATCGTTGCCGACTCGCTAAAGGAGGGCATAATCGACCACTCCCCCTTAGCCCTTGCTGCTTTGAGACACACTTCAACATGGCGACGGGTCTCGGGAACGCGCAAACGAAGGCGGAGTGTGTAGGGACCGGTTTGGGATTGGGCCTTACTGTCATAAAAAAAAAAACTTAGCTAGCCTTGCGATTTTGATTTATTCCTTTTATATATTACAATTGTTTAGGATCCATTTAAAGTTTACCTCCGCTGCTTTTGCATGAAGGCTGCATGCGTTCTCTGAGACAATCATAATCATTTTCATCCTTGTTGTTTAAATCAGTCGTAGACGGCTTTGTGAGAAATTTATGAACTTCTTTTTGCCTTATAAATACTCCAATATTTTTACAACAAAATCACATCGACAGGACAGCACGCTATATGCTATCCCAGCTAACAAGCGACGTTACCGTGACGTTTTTGGACGTCCGATTTTGGTCCGCCAGGTAACGTTTCATTCACAACAGAGCATGTGAGCGGAGTGGAGCGGTGAGAATTTCCACTCCTCGCTCACAAGGCTGTTGGCTCTGCTCGCTCCTCCGCTCTAATTCGCACTAAGCCGCTCCGCTCACCACCGCTCCTCGCTCCACTAAAATTTCCTCCCGCTCCAGTCAAATCGCTCCACGCTCGCTCCAATTTAAAAGAGGTACAAATAAGTAAAGAAATATGAGCAACGGCAACATTGCCACTCAGAAAATATTTATTTTTAAGCAACATATAGGCAACAACGGACAGGTTTGGCAATGGCATTCCACACAAAAGGCTTAAAAATAAAGGAATCAGTGGGCTTAATAGCCTAAAGAATATACAGGCTAAGCATCTACGTTTTAAATTCCTCAATTTTTTTCTGTTGATGCTGCTGCGTCTCTATAAAATAAAATTTCACTGACAGCGTTACGTGAAATTAAAAAAATCCTATTAGACCTACTTTGAATGGCAAAACGAATTTATTTGATTACAAATATTTACTTTATAGGCTTTTATACTTTAATTTACTTTATAGACTTCATATACTACAACCATATAAAATTTACTCACGTTTTGCTCCGGCTTCCGCCTGTTCGCGTAGCACACTGTCATGTTTCTGAGAAAAGTGATTCCAAAGTGAATCTTTACTCACTGAAACAGTTTCACCACATTGTTGTTCTTGCTCTACATTATTGTCATCTATACGTTTGATAAGAATAGTACACTTGTAAGATTTATCAGTTTCGAATTCCATCTCGGCCAATCTGTGTAACAGTCTTGATAATTGTACAGATGAATTCTGGGTAGATTTGGGCACGCCTCAGAATCATAGTGTGAGCGGTATTGGAGCGACCGCTCCAGCCTTAATTAGAAAACCGTTCTGCGCTCTGACCAAATTCTGCCCGCTCCACTCCGCTCACATGCTCTGCTCCTTAGCAAATCCAGTGACAAAATATGGGTCAAAATGTTTTACGTAATCAAAAAGGATGTGTTGGTTTCAAATGTATGACTAATCAGTAAATTCTTTTCTATATGTAGTACACACATGTTGTTACATGAAAAGGAATTTTATTCTGAAGTGTTTATATCTTAATTTGATTTAAATATACTCTTTTTTGTAAATCCACTACCTGAGCCTGCTGAGGGGCAACAATGTTGGAGATACAGCAAGGCGCATCTTAAGGAAAATAGGGACCAATGCCTTGTGGGGAGAGTACAGACCTAAAAAACAAACATATAAAGACCCTGTAGACATGAGTCATGCAATCAAATTAGATAACTTTGACATGACATGTTTTAAGCAAAACTGAAGTATACTTATGATCAGACAAAACAGGCAATACTTCTTACATATTTACATCAGGTGACGTGTGTGTGCGTGCATGTGTGTGTCTTTTGCAAATACTGTAGCTGCATGCAGTAAAGCTCATCCTGAAGCAACCAACCTCACCATGGATAATTCAATTGCAGTGACACTAAAGCACTGTCCACGCCATGGATCTCGGAAGGTATGGAGATGTTTTTATATTGTTGGTGGTCTAGTGGTTAGGACGCTCACCTCTGGGCCAAGAAGGTTCGAGTCCCACGTCTGGTACTACCGTCATTGGGTTCGAGTCCCACGTCTGGCACTACCGTCATTGGGTCCCTGAGCAATAGGCATTTAAAAAATGGAAGTCGCTCTGGATAAGAGCATCTGCTAAATGCTGTAAATGATTATCTTAACACTGAATAAGAACATAAGAACTATACAAACGAGAGGAGGCCATTCGGCCCATCGAGCTCGCTTGGGGAGAACTTAACTAATAGCTCAGAGTTGTTAAAATCTTATCTAGCTCTGATTTAAAGGAACCCAAGGATTCAGCTTGCACTATGTTATCAGGAAGACTATTCCATACTCTGACTACACGCTGTGTAAAGAAGTGCTTCCTTAAATCCAGTTTGAAATGTTCTCCCGCTAATTTCCACCTACAGTATGGCCACGAGTTCTTGTATTTGAACTAATGCTGAAGTAACTATTCGTTTGAACAGCATCCAAACCTGTTAGAATCTTATAGACCTGGATCATGTCCCCCCTCAGTCTCCTTTGCTTGAGGCTGAACAGATTTAGCTCAACTAACCTTTCCTCGTATGACATTCCTCTAAGACCAGGAATCATTCCTGTGGCCCTACGCTGCACCTTTTTCTAAGGCCGCAATGTCCTTTTTAAGATATGGTGACCAAACCTGCACACAATATTCTAGGTGAGGTCTCACCAAGGAATTGTATAATCTTAGCATTACCTCCCTTGACTTAAACTCCACACACCTGGAGATATACCCCAACATCCTATTGGCCTTTTTTACTGCTTCCCCGCACTGGCGAGAATGAGACATGGAAGCATCAACAGAATAGTTACATGTCATTAAGACATATGTGTGTTCTTACATGCATGGTTCATAACACCTATCCCACTCATACCATACAAGGTTATCTAACGAATGTATTCAGTTTTAGAGGTAAACTACTGTATGGTCTTCTGTAATTATTTCTTCTCCTAGGATGATGCTGCAGTGAGGGATACAAGGGAAATGGAGCAGGGACCTGAAGCGGATGAATTTGCTTGTTAATGTTGACTTTAACATTTAATAACAACATTCTAATGTTATTAAAGTTTTTGATGTTAATAAAGTGAGATAACTGAAATATGGAATAAATGCATTATTCATATTTAAATATATATCCATCCATCCATTATCCATACCGCTTTATCCATCTGGGTCGCGGGATTTAAATGTATATTATAATATAATTATTTTGAATTATATATTGCATATATAATGGTTTGTTATATATATAAACAAACCTATATAAAAATGTTATATATATATGGTTAATTGTATGTTTATGCTAAACTGCTTAAATTGTTTAGACATTTCTGCCATGGTTAAAAAATGCTGATGTATGATCTATACATAATTTAATAAATCATTTGGAAATGTCCTACAAAAGACAAAAAACAACGTTGTATAGCTGTTTCTGAAATATCATGGTAACGTTGTGAAGACGTGGTGAGGACGTCGGAAATAACGTCTTCTGTCCTGTACCGAGGACCCTACAAAATAACGTCCACATGACATCAATAAAAAACGTTTTCACGACGTTTGTCAACGTTCAGAGGACGTTGAAAGGATGTCATGAAGATGTGGTAAGGATGTCGGAAATGACGTTGTCTATCCTGTACCGAGGACCCTACAAAATAACATCCAAATGATGTCAATTATAAACGTTTTCATAGACAATTGGGTCACATAAAATAGTATGTGAATATTATTGTTACATAATATTTGTTAGTGTAAGTGCATATGCCTACTATATTTTTAATATATAACTTTTTTAGGGGGTTAAAAGAACAACATACAGGGGCTTAATTTAGATGGTTTTTATATTATATATAAAGGTTGAATAAGCAACATGCAACGTATAGACAGTGACTGAATGATAGTGACTCACTGGTTCTGGAATTGCTTAATCTAATCATTCTGGACCAGGGCTAGAAATGTGTAATTAACCCACTTGCCATGACTTTCAATTCACAGGGGAGAGGCTGAAAGAGGCTTTTGTTCATGACTTTTTACCAAGCTGCTCATAGACAGTTACCGAGTGACCTAACATCCTGTGATGGGTGTCCGCCAAGCTGAAGGTGGTCCACTCTGCTCTTGGAAAAACACCAAAACCGACATTAACAATTACTAAGTCAGGCCACCCCACTTAGTTTGCATCATTAAATGGAAATTGTTCAATAAAAAAAATTCAAAGCTATGAATATTTCCAGCGGACACAGAAGCACAGTACGCACTGCTTATTCTCAATATCTCCTGAACAACTCAAGGGGTACATTATGTTGCGTATATATGCATTAGGTTACAGACAGGGGCGCCGTAAGGGGGAGGAAAGCTAGGACGATTCCAAGGGCCCCTGAGTGACAGGGGTCCTAAAAAATTAGGAAAATAACTGGATTGGTTTGGACTGGGGGGCCTAATATGATATGCTTTCATGCGGCCCAAAATCTCTAGCAACGCCCCTGGTTACAGACATAAATCATGGTCATGTACATGCCCTTAATTGTTGTAGATACTAAGATTTACAGTGCTGTGCGAGAGTCTTAGGCAGTCAAAGAAAATGTTTAAGGCTATATTTATCTTAGTAGAAAGTATATACAGTTGCCCTCTATAGATTCGCAAATTTAGACATTGCCGGTTTTAGTTATTCGAGAGTTGGCCACGAATAACACTATGTGGCAAAATTTGTACTTTTTGTTGTTCCTGGGCAGAAAGTGTTATTTCCAAATTGCTTCTGCCTAAAGTAAATGGAAAAGACATTTTTTTCTCGTCCAACTTTGCTTTTGTGACCCGGTTAATGACATTTTCAAATGTACCCATTTCTCAGAGGATTCCAGGTAAATTCCGTGCCACAGAGCCCACAAAGGGACATGGACAAACAAAAAGTCCTCGACAGTGTCGCATGAGCACCACAAAGTTTCAAAGCATTTTTGTTGTCTGCCTCTGCACCTTTAGGGGTCCCGTACAGTGTTGAGTAGCTGATGGAGAATTGTCTAGAACTTACAAGAATTTTCAAGAACTTTCAAGAATTTTGTGAAATGTCGTAGAACTTAAAAGGGCCTTTTAGAATTTTCTAGAACCATCCACAGTAATATGTATATTTACAGGGACTCACCACTTCAGTTTAGTTCTAGCTGCCTAAGTGAATACACAGACCTATCTGAATTTATCAGACACGGCATCAAGAAGCTGAAAGCATTCTCCAGACGCCTGCTGCTATGTATGTAGCCAATTTATCAAGATATGAGCAAAAAAGTACTCTGTGGCAGCACTTGGGGGTTGATACGTGAGAGTGATTTATATTATACTGTATATGCACAGTTCTAAAAACTACTCACTTCTATATAGTTTTTGTTCATTTTTGTATAACTTTACATACATATAAATCTTGACTGAAATGTTTTATGTAAATGAAAATGTGCAAATTTGCCAGTTTTTACAAAGAAAGTTGGTTAATTTCATTATCCAGGTCACAAAAGCAAAGCTTGAAGGGAATAATGACTATTTCTATACTTTTACAACATAAGCAATTAAATAACACATACTATTAAGGAACAAAATTTGTGTTACATAGTGTAATTAAATGTGAAACTTTGAAGCTTGACAAAAGATTGCTGAAATCCAGACGACGCGTAAGACAAAACAATACAGAACATTATTTGGGTCACATAAAATAGTATGTGAATATTATTGTTACATAATATTTGTTAGTTTAAGTGCATATGCCTACTATATTTTTAATATATAACTTTTTTGGGGGGGTTAAAACAACAACATACAGGGGCTTAATTTAGATGGTTTTTATATTATATATAAAGGTTGAATAAGCAACGTGCAACATATAGAGTACAATACAGTTTGCTTAGAAATTGGTATGTAATAGACTTTATGTTATCATTCCGGGGTGCGTTTCTATGCAGATTACGTCCCCTGAAAGGGGAAGCTTACCATGTGAACTGATTAAAAATGCTAAGGTACAAATACACTGTTCTGGTTTCAGATTTTGTCACATACAACGTTCACTGTACTAGTGAAATGCTTTCCCACCTGCTTCCAGAATTGTTCTTTTAAGGGAATGTGACGCAATGAAAAACAAAAATGGTATAAAAATATGATTAAACTAAAAGAAATAAAAGACTGCAAAGAGAACAAGGATATCAATAGTAATAAAAAGAAGTGGGATGACATGAAAGTGTGAGATGATATTCAGGTCGTTTGACAAGGTAAAGTTATAAAAGATGGCTGTAAATTCAGAAAGTCTGTAAGGTACCTAAACTGGAGCTGGAATCTTGTGAAACATCTTTGTTACACTGTATTTGTCTGCCCCCTACTGATAACAGTATGAACTTTTATCCAGAAAGCACTTCGCTTAGGGGTTTACAATCCAGAGGGGTATTCCATGTAGCAGATCAGCCAGATAAGTATAATGTAAGGACTGTCCAATAGGAATGTAACATACTGCTCCTCCTACTGGACAGTTTCCACATTTGGCTTGTTATCCAGCTGACTGGGAAGTTCTGCTTTGTGGAACACCGCCCTGGTCCTGAATCCATGCTGGTGCGCTACATGAAACACTAAGGTCGTACTTAGTACATTTTAAATATGTTTGATATTTATGTATACTCCAAATAAATATATGTCTGAAACTTTAAAATTAGTAGCATGTGTAAATAATTGTAATATAGTTTAAAAGGCACGGAGCCTTGAATCTCATCCAGCATAAGGTCTGTGGTGTCACTACAGGCCCGGATGTGATCACAGCAGCACCCCATTCTCTTTGACTAACAAACATGCTTCTTGTTCTTCACAAATTCTTCCTAGGGGCTTGTTGCTTAAAGCAGGATTTCTTACTTGACAGATGTAATGCAGCTTGAGAAAAACACGTGAACAAAGACTAAATCCATTTAAACTGGGATACCTTTAGATTTGACAAGTTACCCGGCTAAGCAAGAAATCCTGCTTCATGGAAAAAGGCCCAGGTTTTATTTCAGGGTGACCACAAGAGAGAGTTCAAGAGAGAGCTCTTCATCATTACGCACGGCCAGTTGGATGTGTCGTGGAGTGATTCGCAGCTTCTTGTTGTCCCGTGAGGCATTGCCGGCCAGCTCCAGGACCTCAGCACACAGGTACTCCAGGATGGCGGTCAAGTAAACCGCAGCACCTGTGCCAATGCGGGGTGCATAGTTTCCCTTTCGCAGCAGACGGGCAACGCGGCCCACGGGGAACTGCAGCCCGGCCCGTGCCGAACGGGTCATGGAGCTCTTTGCTTTGGCAACAGCCTTCTTACCATGACCAGACATCCTTCAGGGCCCTGGGGGGAGGCAAAGGATACAATTCATGGGTGAAGAAGAAAAAACACATTAAATTATCAGCAAGAGGAGTCATAACAGCAAGCTCACCTTATATATTCCAATGACTACACTCCAAAGCCAAGAAGACAGACACAAGCAGCTCAAAGTTGTGCTGAAGCCGCTCATATACACTATGAGTCTCTGCAACTACCCAGTTAGCCAGAAGTTGTTAACCAATGATTACCACGATGACCTTCAGCTGTTTACTTTGTAGTTTAATTAACATTAACAAGCATCCCTACATATTTCTTGATTGTTTCAGCACTGTCAGCAAATAAGGTTAAGAGATACTCAGGTATTTCACAAATAACAATGAGATACTCAGGTATTTCACTGAAAAAACTTTCAACACAGTCTTGTTCCTTAACACTAAGGCTTGCAGTAGGATCTTCATTTTAGCTCACAAGCAGGGTTTCATTCCAGCTGAATTTGGCAGTTGGAAAGGACTAATTTTTAAAAGTTTTCCTGGTCAGTACATCAGGCCTACACTTCCCTTTTCTTTAAACTGAGCTAGAAAAATAATGAAGTCTTGCTGCTGAAGGCCTATGAGTGGCCCTTTAACTGTCTGCAATGATCCCAAAGAGGGATCCGGAAGCTCTGTGGGTATCACTGCTGCCTTGAACCACCTGGGTCCCACTGTGTGTGTGTGTTAATACTTGGTGGCTGCATGTTCTGCCCATTTTGTTTCCTCCCACAGTCCAAAAGCTTGGCTATGCCAATTGGCACCTCACGGTACTACATATATGTGCGAGTGTGCACCCTGAGATGGACTGCTATCCTCTCTTGGACATTCCTTGCTCTGTATCTCCTTGGATGAGCTTCCAGTGACCCTGTACTGGGTAAGCTATGGATGGATGAGTGAAAGAAATTACCTGAATAATAAGCTAACATTATCTAGCCACTCAAAATAAAAATCCTCACCTTTATGAAGGGCTGGTGATGATTCTTACCCATCTATTTGCGTAACACTCCAAAAAGGCTGATTCCAAGTTGCTGATTGATTACAGTTTATGAACATCACACAGGGGTGGGTGCTGGACTACTTTGTAAGGGTTAGAAGTAGAGGTCGACCGATATGGGTTTTTCAATAGCCGATGCCGATGACGATATTTAGGAGTCAGGGTCAGCCGATGACCGATATATGCTGACGATATTTTTTGGCCGAAAATTGGACGTTTTCCCCTCTATTTGCATGATAAAATATCACATTAATAATAACAAATGATACACAAAATTTCTCAACTTAGCATTTATTGAATACTGACTTGTGTAAATTTAAATATAAACTTAAATAACAAAAACACAATACAACTTATAAACAACTTATAAACAATAAAGATAGCAGCATCAGAATCTCTTTAGCAGCAAACTCATTCTTCAGCTCCCAAGCTCACCCCTGGCTTTTCCTGGTGTTGGCTTTGTGAAATGCTGCCATACAGGATTAGATTTTTGTTCAGCCATCAGACAGCAATTACTAAAACAGAAGAATAAATGCAAGGTTAGAATTTTTATTATAGTACCTTCATCTTCAATTCATTCTACAATTCCAGTATTCCATGCACATTAAAACAATTACACTCTAATACATTTTGAAGATATGATGAGTAGTGTACACTAACATGTTGTTTCTGTTGTTAGCAGACAGATAGCTTAAAGCCAAATTCACAATCAGAATCTAGTGATCCCGGAAAATAAAATAAAATAACTGTCGTATTGCACAGCCTTGTATGCAAGGACAACATAAGCCCCTAGTGATTGTGACGTTGTCTACGTATAAGCCCGTATAAAGGATAGACATGTTTAATGAGGAAACTATGCACTTTTTATCTAGACGTCTGACAAATTGTTTGAATCTCCGGTCTCAAATGAAAAAAAGTTGCACAGAAGGACCATTGTCAGCATCAGCTCAAGTAAATGGTAACCACGCTTTCGAACAAACACTTTTCTCCGCCATGCATTGTTCTTAGCAGCTCTGTGTCTCCGAGGACGGCGCTGTCTGTGATCAGGGCAGAGTAACGCAACTCTCACACACGCTGCAGTATTTGAGCGCTGCCTGCTCCGCCCCACACACTCACAGAGTGAAACTCTCCGACACAAGAAAAAAAACATAACTGATAACATCGGGCTGATATGGTAATAATTAAAATGTTAACAATTAAAATGATTTTTAACGATTAAAAAACGTCTGTGAGCCCACCAATAACTTAAAATAAGCGCACAAAACGAACTCTATTAGAATCAATGATCCTTAATGTTACCTGTAAGCTACAGTTGGTTGAAGGCTCATTATCATTACCCCAGTTCCCAATAGCGTAATTCGCGTTTTCTTTTAAAGCAACATTTCATAGCAAACTACTTAAATGAACAGGTCATTGAAAGATCAGAATTTAAGCCTTACCGTTTTATCCCAGGACTCTTCCAAATCTTCTGGCTGTGGTCCTGCACAAGGCAGCGTGGGTCACGTGTTCCACAGCAACAATAACACTGGGCTGCCCGCAGACGTGCCTATCTGAAAATCGGCGTAGTGCACTCGGATATCGGCCGATGCCGATACATTAAAAAATGCTAAATATCGGCCCGATATATCGGCCGGCCGATATATCGGTCGACCTCTAGTTAGAAGGTCATCTCTGAGGATTTATTTACAGCCATACACTTGTAAACAATGTCTACTCAGGAGCTCCATAGATGTCTGAACAGAACGTAACTTCTCACAGAGTAAGATGGTTGACTTGTAGTATTAGGTTTCCACTACAATGGTGATTCAAAACACATTTTCCAGGAGTGTGATCGGAAAGTGTAATGAAGTGCTGCACATGGGTTTGACTGGACAGATACTGCCACTGCCTGCTACATCAGCACCTCCTAATGGCACCGGGCGGTCCTACAGGCCACCTCTGACATTCCTGGGGATTTTCAGCCCCCAAGTCTCACAAATGTGAAAGAGTGAGTGCCCTGTATTTAATCAGAAAAAAATGATCATCAGAACATTATTAACTGTAACACAATAAAAAATAAAGAAGAATTTCTTCAGTCATTCATAACATTACTGGGCCGGTATGCATAAAACTTCCTAAGAATGGTCGTACACTTTGACTTAACAGTTAAAAAAATCTTAGTAAAAAGTAGGACCTAAGAGCATTTTATAAAGATGCTAAAAGTAACTTTCAGCAAAGTCTAAGCCAGAGTGCGAATTTCCCCTCCATAATTGGGGGATACTGCCTTCATAACACTTCTATGACCATTATGGTGCAAGATGCGCCAGGGGTGTTTACTAACATGTATGTAACACACGGTCATGGTCTGGACATGCGACACAATGAGAATCAATACAGAAAATCTCGTTATCCTTATGCCTATCCAAAAGAATTTGGTTTTGATAACTGCCAGGAATTATCCTAGATGAAGTATACTAGTAAAAGTAATAAGCCTATACAGTTACAAACAGCCTGGTCTGGTCCAGCAGTCTGGGGTTATTCCTGCCCTCTCAGTCCCCCCAGCTCTAACATCCTTCAGAAATAAATATTTGCCTATTAGGCTAATATCTGTCTTGATGACACAGTAGATCTTAAAGTACAGCCTCATTTCTAACTCACCTCTTGGTCCTGCGCGCTGCCCTCATCCTGCCATCTTCCTGCTGCCTGTCCTGTACACTGTCCTCATCCTGCCATCTTCCTGCTGCCTGCAC